TGTTAGCTCAGAGCCAGTCTTCCTCAGCAAAAAGAGGAGGATTAGCATGGATGTTAGCTCAGGGCTGATCTTCCTCACCAAAAAAAAAAAAAAGAAAAAAAGAAATGGGTGGGTAGTTTGGAGTTCAAGTGTTCTAAAGTCTTGTTTGGGTTTTGTTTTTTTTGGGGGGGGTTTGTTAAGTATACATGTTAAAAATTCAAGATAAGAACAGAAACCAAAGCAGAGGAGAGAGAAAAGAGGATAAGGTATACATGCACAATAAAAAGAAGGCATAATAAGTAGAAAATAAGACAAATTTATATGAACAATCACAATAAATGTAAATGAATAATTCACCTATTAAAATAACAAACAGGAGGGGCCGGCCCTGGTGGCACTTACGCTTAAGTGCGTGGGCTCCGCTGCGGGGCCCAGGGTTCACCAGTTTGGATCCCGGGTGCGCACCGAGGCACCGCTTGGCAAGCCATGCTGTGGCAGCGTCCCATATAAAGTAGAGGAAGATGGGCATGGATGTTAGCTCGGGGCCAGTCTTCCTCAGCAAAAAAAGAGGAGGATTGGCAGATGTTAGCTCAGGGCCGATCTTCCTCACAAAAATAAATAAATAAAAATAACAAACAGGATAAAAAGGAAAAAAAAGCCCAGCAATATGCTCTTTACGAGAGACAGACCCGAAGCATAAAGACACAAAGAGAAGGGGTTGGAAAATAAAATTCCTGGAAAATACTCACAATAACAAAAACAGAAAAGCAATATTATCAGACAAAAGAGAACTTAGACTAAAAGATATTCGTCAGGATAAAGAGGCATGTTTCTTAATGTGGTAGATTGGAATCTTGGTCTCAATTCTTCACCCTCCTCTAACAGGATTATATGTTCACGCTTTTTGACGTGTAACTCTGCCTTACCCTCCAACTGCGGCTATAATTGACGTTAAGCTTAGCCATATGGCTAGCTTTGGCTGATGTAATATTAGTATATTTAGGGGCGGAAGTTTTAAGGATGTTTGTATGATCTGTCTTGTGCTCTGGTGAGCCATGATGAGAAGAACATGTCCTGGTAGCCACTGTTCTTTTATTTATTTATTTTATTTCTTATTTTTTTATAATTTTATTTATTTTTTTTTCCCCCAAAGCCCCAGTAGATAGTTTTATGTCATAGCTGCATCCTTCTAGTTTCTGTATGTGGGACACAGCCTCAGCATGGCGGGAGAAGCGGTGCGTCCGGTGCACCCCGGGGGGATCAGAACCCTGGCTGCCAGCAGCGGAGCGCACGCACTTAACCGCTAAGCCACAGGGTCGGCCCCCACTGTTCTTTTAGCTTGAGCTGCAGAAAGAACACACGTGGACCAGACCTGAATCCATCCTGCAGCCCAGCCACTCAGCCAAGTACAGCCTAGAAAGGCTGAACACAGAGAATCTGCAAACTGGTGAACACGGGAATAAATGCTTGCTGTTGTATGCTCTGAGTTTAGGGGTGATTTGTTAGGCAGCAGTATTATCATAGCAATAGCTAACTAACGCACATAGTAAAAGCAAGCCATAAGATGATGACATAATGAGTCTGGAAAAGATCACCCAGGAATACTGGAAAGCAACAGAACAGGGCCAAGAACTTTCGGGGAACAAAAGGCAGGCAAAGCGGACTAAGAAGGAGCGGCCAGTGGGGAACGAGGACCACTTGAAACCAAATACAGCAATTTTTTTTCAAGCAGTTACCAACTATGACAAACGCTACACAAAAGTCAACTCAAGAAAGCAAGAACCACTACGCATATTACAAACGCCTCACCACAGACCTTTAATGACAATCACACAGACAACAATACCACACACGTCATCATAACCACACACAACCACAAACATCACCAGGACACAAACATCGACATCACAATCACATATCCCATCACAGTTACTCCATCATACACACACAACCACACATACACCATCACTCTCTCACACACTAACTCCACCCACTCCCCAGGAGCGTACTTCCACCCCGAGCACTCTCCACGTCCGCTACTGGCGACACTCCGGGCCTCCTTAGAGGCTCCGCCCCGTCACCCGCGCGCCGCGGTGCAGCCCAGACGGCTCAAGCCCCTCCCCCACGCCCCGCTGCGGGGACGCGGCAGCGTCACCTGCCGGAAACGCCCGAATGCGCATCCAGCGCGCGGTTTCTGGGAGGCTGGGAGAAGGCGACCGCAGGCAGTAGGCCCGGCCCAGGCGCCGGTAACGCTGAACCATCCCTCGGCGCCCCCCTCCCAACGGACGTGCCGAAGTACAACAGCTCCCAGAAGGCCCCGCGGCCGGACTCAATTTCCGGCCAGAACGCGGTCTGTGTTTGCTGCGTGTGGGAGGGGTGAGCCAGGTCCGCTCCGGAGGCTCTGCCCGAGCGTGCTGAGCTTCCGCGACTCGCAACTCTGAGACCCGGCTGGGTGCTGAGCGGTGCAGGAGCAGTCGTTTCAGGTGGGCCCAGCCAGGGCGCTGAGAGGGGTCGGCCGTGTGTCCGGCTCTGGACCACATTTCCCAGAGGGCCCGGCGGCCCGTCGCTCTTCTCGCAGGAACTCGAACGTTTCGTCACGCCTGGCGGGACTGTTAGATCCATGAGGCGCGGGCCCGCGGGCCCCGGGGGAACCGGCTCGGCTCTGCAGGTTCCCATCCCGGGGGACCCGAAAGGCCGAAGGTGAGCAGACCGGAGGCCGGTACGGGGCTGGGTCGTCGGGCCTGTGCGGGCAGAGCGGCATGAGGAGGGGAGGATGTGGGACTGTCTGAGAGAGATTGTGACACTGCGACCCGTGTGCGGATATAGGGTGCCTATCAGTGTGGGGTTCTGTGTGTGTCCCTATGGTGGTGTGTGATTGCGACCCTGCGACACTGTGGGGTACCTGCGACTGTGGGTGTAACTCTGTGTGTTCCGTGGTGAGTATGTGATTGTAACTGTTACCATGTGTGGCTCTGTGTGTGTGGGTGTAGAGTTCGTGTTCCCTTGTTTTAAGGATGCCTCTGCTCACTGTATGTGGTATCGTGTGTATGGGTATGGGGCTCCTGTCAGCTGTGCGATTGTGACTCCAGAGCTCTGTCCCTAGGAAACCTCTGTGAGGTTTGGTCGGGTTATAGCCCTGGACGGCAGGGACCTCAGCTTTTCCCTGAGACACTGGGATTGGGCAGAATGCCCAATTCTCCTCTGATCTTCGTTCCCTGTATGTAATGGGGGCTGGGAGCCGGCTGACAGCTGACCTCTGACCCGACCAGTTTGAGCAACAAGAAAAACCTGGTGTCTCACAATTACTTTCTTTTCTTCCAGTTCCACCCTTCTCCAGGTCAGGCGCAGAAGAGAAGGAAAGAATGCATGATGAATTTCTGCAAGCACTGTCCAAGGTGTGTTGGGGTTTCCTCTTTGCTTTCCTTCTTCTGAAAGTTAATACTTAATAAAGGTATGACATTTGATTATAGGTCCTTATAATTTCCCCATTGGAGAAAGGATAGTTGAGCCTGGTATTAAAGCCCAATACCTCCCATATACCTAATGTTTACTTATTTGGAAAATGGCTCCACTTCTGTTTGCTGAGTTTTCTTCTTTTTAAATGCAATATTTAGGGGCTGGCCCTGTGGGGTAGCGGTTAAGTGCGTGTGTTCCACTGCTGGTGGCCCGGGTTCGGATCCTGGGTGCACACCGATGCATTGCTGTGGCGGTGTCTCATGTAAAGTAGAAGAAAACGAGGGGCACACATGTTAGCGCAGGGCTGATCTTCCTCACACACAAAAAATAAATAAATGCAATATTTATTATGATTTTAAAGTAAAAGGATGATTATTTTAGAGATTTTTTTTTTTTAAGATTTTATTTATTTATTTTTTCCCCCAAAGCCCCAGTAGATAGTTGTATGTCATAGCTGCACATCCTTATAGTTGCTGTATGTGGGACGTGGCCTCAGCATGGCCGGAGAAGCGGTGCGTAGGTGCGGGCCCAGGATCCGAACCTGGGCCGCCAGCAGCGGAGTGCGCGCGCTTAACCGCTAAGCCACGGGGCTGGCCCCGATTTTAGAGATTTGAAAAACAGAATTACCAAGAAAAAATAAAATATGACTACTCTAATAACTAGTCTTAATATTTTGATGTATTTTCATTATTTTTCCAAAATCGAATTATACTTCATTTATCATTTTGTATCCTGCATTTTCACTAAAAAGGATCATTCTCCTGTGTCGTTAAATGGTCTTTGTAAAATACCATTTTTCAAAGATACACATTATGTCTTTGTATGAATGAGTTATGGTTTATTCTTTTCTTCAGTCAGTTGTGTCAGACTTTGAAATTGTTAAATATTTATTTATTTATTTATGCAAACACACACATATACACATAGGTTTGAATTTGGATTTCCAGGATTAATAATGAGATTAAACACCATTTCATATGTTTATTCGTTATTAGGGTTTCTTTTGTGACATGCCTGTTCAAATCTTTTACCCATTTTGCTCTTGGATTATCTCTATTGATTTATAGCAGTTCTTTATATAATCTAGATATGGGTCCTTTATTGATTATATTTTTCTACTATTTGGATTGTTTTATCACTTTTTTTAAGGTGGTTTTATGAATAGAAGTCCTCATTTTTTTAACAAAGTCAAATTTATCAATTTTTTTTCCTTTATGGTTGGTGCTTTTTGTATCTTATTTAAGAAATCCTGGGCCGGCCCTGTGGCTTAGCGGTTAAGTGTGCGCGCTCCGCTGCTGGCGGCCCGGGTTCGGATCCCGGCCGCGCACTGATGCACCGCTTCTCTGGCCATGCTGAGGCCGCGTCCCACATACAGCAACTAGAAGGATGTGCAGCTATGACATACAACTATCTCCTGGGGCTTTGGGGGGAAAAAAATAAATAAAAATTATAAAAAAAAAAAAAAAAAAAGAAAGCCTTCCCTATCCCAAGGTTATGCAAATATTCTGTATATATGATTAAAGCTATAAGTTTTGCCTTTCCCACTTATGTATTTACTCCACTTCTTACTAGCTTTTGTGTAGGTGTAAAGTAGGGGTCAGGGTTGGTTTTTTTCCTCCTTATGAGTACCCAAATTTTCTCAGTACCATATATTAGAAAGTCAGTTTTGTTCCCACTGGTCTATGAATATATCCAGTGTCCATATGTGCATGGGTATGTTTATGTGCTCTTTATTCTGTTCTATTGATCTATTTGCATATCCTTGTACCAGTAACACACAGTCTTGATTATTCTAGCTCCTCTCTCCTCTGAAAGTAATTTGGCTTTTCTTCCTCTGGCATAAGACTTCCTGTCTGTTTTTGGTTTTCTATAATTTTAGTATAATGTGCCTAAGTGTGCATTTCTTTTTATTTATCTGCTTGGAATTTGTAGGGGTTTTTGAATTTGTGGATAGATGTCTTTTATTAGTTCAGGAAAATCCTCAGCCATCTTCAAAGATTGTCCCTGTCTCATTCTCTCTCTCTCTTCTCCTTCTCAGGCTCTATTACACATAGGTTGGAATTTCTCATTATTTCTTTTTTCATCTCTTAATCTCTTTTTGGTTTTTAGAGTTGACACTTATAGGTCAAATCAAAGCAATATTAAGCAAAAGAACCTTGCCTTGTCTCAGGAGGAGGCAGAGAGCATGGCAGGTAGCCAGGGTTTTTGGATTCTTCCCCCAGCTTGTAGTAAAAATATCTTTATTCAGTAGTGTTTCAACACTTCTAATCAACTCACTAAATCATAAGGCTATCCATTTACCTTATGATTCTCTTATCTGAAAATTAGAGTGTGTCAAGGTAGAGGATTCAGAAAAGGGACAAGGTTTCCTCAAGATATAAATTTGGAACTGAGTGGGCCACTCTCAATTTTTAAAATATATGCGTTTGGTACATAGGCAAAGAAAATCAGCATAAGAATCAGTCTTCCTAAATCTATTCTTTAGAAGAGGTCTCTCTATCTGAATTTCTTTAGAAGAGAGCTGAGTCTTTCCAAACCATTCTCCTGTGCCAAAGCCCAAACAGAGTATCTTGTTCCCCTTTCCCGTCAGCCTCTAATTACACTCACCACCTCTATAGTGAAGATTATTGCCCAATTAATGGGAATAAATCTAGGCAGATGGTGTACTGTAGTAGAAAATAAATTTTAAAAGGAATAAAATGAATTTTGTTCTTAGAAGCTAACCTAATGTTTCATCAGGAATATTTCATCAGGAATGTTGAAGCATTCCTAGTAAAGTCAGAGAAAAGACAGGATATACACCATTACCAATGTTATTTAACATTGTTCTGTAGGTATTAACCAAAGCACTTAGACAAGAAAAAAATTAGGTTCAAACTTAGAAAAGAGGATATAAGATCATTACTTTTTGCAGATGATATGACTGTGTACCTGGAAAACCAAATCGACTTATAACTAGCACTGTGAAATAAGCAGGACTCCATAGGAAGCAAGCAAAAGAAATTATTTTCCGTATAATTACCACTCTCAACTCTTTGTGGGCTGATTTTTTTTTGTTGCCCTGGATAAAAACTCGTGCAGTTCTTATAATTGTTTTGGTCACTCTTGGGTATCCTTTGGTTGTTTTCAGTCAGAAGATCAGTCTCATTTTACTAATTATAACCTCCAGTTGAGTGTACTAATATGTAAGTTTCATTTAAAGGCTTTTCTCTGAGCTCAGGCTTGCTTTAAGCTAGAAGCTTACAGTGTGAAAAGGGGGACATACTAAACTTTGTTTCCTCAACCTGAACTTCTCTTTCTCTTGCCCACTAAGTAATTTCTGGCTCCTGTGAGATTGCAACAGGGTAGGGAAGAGGAGGTAAGGAGAAAAGTCTTACTTGACTGGTACTGTTGTTTTGGTCTTCGTATCTCTTGCTTTTATGAATGTTCAACACTCATTCATTTTCTTATAGGGTGCTTTTGTGGGATTCTCAGAGAAGCCCCTGCTAGAAACCTCTAATTGCACTTCCCATAATCTGGACAGTATGTCTCCTTGAAATGGCTATTTATAATACCTGTCTTATAAACTTGGGCATTCTGTGATCCACTCCTCTGTTGGGGTCCCTCTGTTGGTTCCATATCTTGTCCAAGATAGGGAATAGGTACCAGTCTCTGTTCCCTCTAAACTCCAGGGAACACAGTAAAAATTCTGCTAAATAATCTTACCATTCCACTTTGGACCTTGGAGTCTAAAGGGGCCCCCTTGTTTGGCCTAAGATGAAGGAAAAGTAAACCTCATTTCTCCTGTGGGATGGAATGTGTCCAAACACATTCCAAACAGCAACCAATTCTTGGACACAAACTGGGTGTCCTAGAATTCAATTCAATTCAATTCTGACACTAACTACCCAGGGTTAACACAGACCCCACAGGTTAAGGGGCTCAGTTTCACAAGACTGCCCTACTTCAGACACCAGCCCCAAGTCTCTAGTGTCCCCAAGGCATGGCACTTCTCCCCAGCAGACCACAAATTCAGGTGTTCCCAAGATCCCCACTCAGGTTCAATAATTTACGGTCATGCACCACATAACGATATTTTGGTCTACAACCAACTGCGTATATGATGGTGGTTCCGTAAGATTAGTACCATATAGCCTAGGTGTATAGTAGGCTATACCATCTAGGTTTGTGTAAGTACACTCTATGATGTTCACCCAAGGACAGAATCGCCTAACGATGCATTTTCACAGAACATATCCTCATCATTAAGCAATCCATAACTGTATTAGAAACACTCATGGAACTCAGGAAAGCACTGTATTTATGATCACAGTTTTATTATAAAGGGTACAACTCAGGAACAGCAAGATGGAAGACATACATAGGGCAAAGTATAGGAGGGAGGACCATATCTGGAAAGAATCTTAAGGATTTTACCTAACAAAATGTCTGAAATGAAAGGTTTATTCAGTAATATTTATATTGTGGAAAATTCTGCTACCAATAAAATTTTAAAAGTTAAAGAGTTTATGTTAATAGGAAATAATCTTTATAACAGTCATAAGAGAACTACAGTTTTCAAAAATTTAAATTATGCTCTTGTGTAAGATAGTGATATCTTAAATTAATGTTTAATCAATTTTGCATTTTAAAATTCAAGAGATGTTAAAAGACTTCATGGAAAAACAGCAGGGCTTTGTCCACTACTAGTCCTTCTCCCTTTAGGTGGCTACCCTCAACTCATTTTGCTTTTCTCTTGGCATTTTTCCTATATTTTAATTAATATTCCTATATTTTTTCTTTTTTTTTTTTTTTGAGGAAGATTTTCCTTGAGCTAACATCTGTTGCCAGTCTTCCTCTATTTAGTATGTGAGCCACCACGACAGCATGGCCACTGACAAGTTGTGTAGGTCCACACCTGGGAACTGAACCCAGGCTGCCAAAGCTGAGCATGCCGAACTTAACCATGAGGCCACTGGGGCTGGTTCCTATATTGCTATTTTTTGATAGAAATTTTCTAGTGACTTCTTTGGGGTAAATATGGATTGAAATCTCCCATACCACATTCCTCATTTCCTGTCCCCTGAAAAGAGTTCTTTCACAGTTTTTCTTTAAATCATTGATATCCACGTGATTAGGACCTTGCAGATATTGTTAATCTGAGCCAAGTAGTACACTAGACCCTAGTGTTTTCTTAGTACAATTTTTATTTTTCTGAAGGCAAATCGCTTTGTTTCTTCATTTGCCTGATTCCGTATATGTGTTACTAATTTTTTTCCCCAAATCCACCAATATTGCTGTCAGTTGCCTATCAATATTTTCCATGTGATCAAACGTATTAGCTCTTTATTTTTCGTGGGAGACCTCTTTCCGATAGTCCTATGTCCTCCTGTTCCTAGATGTTGCTGTCTAGCTCTGTTGCCAGATATTGTCCTAGGACTTGCCTTTTACAATTATACTGGGACTTTGTTCACCATTCTCATGTTAGTTTTCTAGTTTCTGAATATAATACCTTTCTTTTTCTTAATTTACTCCCTAGTTTTGATGGAACACATAGGCCAGTAAGCTTCCTAAGAAAAACTAAATAGGAGATAATTTTATCATTTCCTGTGGATCTAGAATTGTCTTGATTTAATCTTCACACTAGCTTGGTATTTAGTCTTGCTTGGTATATGAACTTCATACTAGAATATAGAGTTCTATTTTCTTTTGTAATATTCAAAGAATCACTTTGTTTTCTTATTTTAAATGGTGCTGTTGTGAAGTCTGTTGCCATTCTGATTCCTGAAGATTTTTATGTGATCCACATTTTCTTCCTGGAAGATTTTACAAAGTTCTGTTTTTCCTTGATGTTCTGAAATTTTACTCCAAAATATATTGTAAGATTTTTTTTAAAGTCCATCACATTTTTTCCTCTCTTGGGGCTTAAAGGGAAAATGAGAAGGGGGAAGGAACTCGCATTTATGCAGACTTTACTACGACCAAGTGTTGAGCTGCATGCTTGCTATTTCATCTCATTGGAAAAGTTTACCCTATTTGCACATTCCTAGACATAGCCCTCTGTGCACAGGAAATATGTCTTCTAGTGATGTAATAGGATTCTAGCCCCTTCAATTTGCTTAATAATCTTGGTCCTTTTCTGTAGAGCCCTCTACCACCTCTACTACCATCTTTTTCTTCTCTCCTTCCATTATGAAAGCATGTTTGTTGTTTCAGGGGTCAATGATGTTCAGGGATGTGTCTGTAAACTTCTCTCAGGAGGAATGGGAATGCCTGGACTCTGGTCAGATGAATTTATACAAAGAAGTGATGTTGGAGAATTTCAGCAACCTGGTTTCAGTTGGTAAGGATAACTATCCCCTGAAATTCAGAGTCTGCCCTCGGGAATGTCTCCTTTCTCCATTGTGAATTATTCTTTTCAAGTAACCAGGTAAATTTCTGCTCCCTGTTCCCCAAGGAATGGTTTGAGTTGGAATAGAATGGAAGAGTTGGAAATGGGCAGCTCCAGTGGGCTGCACTGAAGCTTCATCTGCCTCTGCTCCTTCCTGTAGTGGCAGCTCTTGATCACCAAGGGACTGAATCTGATTTCTGGGACACCAACAGCATAACCATGTCCCATGTCTTTTCTTGTGATCAGGACTGTCCAATTCTAAGCCAGCTGTGATCTCCTTATTGGAACAAGGGAAAGAGCCCTGGATGGTTGACAGAGAGCTGACAAGAGGCCTTTGTTCAGGTAAGTGAGAGATGATAGGGCAGGAGCAGAGCCTGAGGAGATATTACCTATAAGACGTTATCAGGAAACTCCCCTCAAAGACCCAAGGCCTCTTCCATATGAGCTATCTTGCTTTTTTGTCCTCTTGTGCTTTCTTCCCTTTCCAATGTAGCAAGTACCTTTCTTCTTCATTTCCAAGACAAATTATTCTACCTACCTTTTAGATTTCTTCTTCTCCGTAGGATCTGCTGCATTTAGGCTTGTATAACAGGATATATTCCCACCCTAAGAAGTACGTATGTGTGTGTATGTGTGTGCTTTTCTCTCCTTATACTGGTTTTCATTTTATCTACTTTCCAATTATTTGTTAACTTCGTTGACCAGCTTGTCCTGGATTTAGCAGTTCATTCTTTCATTTATCAAACATTTGATTATTTTTTACTTTTTAAAAAATTCAGATATACACACAGATAAGCACATGATTATGATTATATGGTGTAATGAATTGTGCAACTGAATGCATTCATGTAATTGCCACTCCAGACAAGTAATAGAAAATTACTAGCAGCTCAGAACCCCTTCCCTGCCTCTTCCCAATCACTGGCCTCTTTGTCCTCACCCAAAATAAACGCTATCCTGACTTCTAACACTACGGATTAATTTTGCCTGTTTTTGAGCTTTATATAAATGGAATCATACGGTATTTATTCTTTTGTCTTTGGGTTTTTTTTTTTCAACTTTATGTTTATGGGATACATCTATGATATTTCATATAGCTGTTATTAGTTCGTTCTCATTGTTATGTTGTATCCATTCTATGAATATATTTTATATTATGTATTATTTATTGTTAATTATTATAAATTAAATATCCTTTCTACTATTGACGGTTGGGTTGTTTTCCAGTTTTTAGCTATTAATCATAATGCTGCTGTGAACATTCTCATACATACCTTTTGGTACGTATATATACACTTTTCCTTCTGTGACTGGCTTCTTTCACTTAGCATAATATATTCAAGGTTCATCCATGTCGTCACATATTGCCGGATTTCCTTATTTTCTAAGGCTGAATAATATTCCATTGTATATATGTATATACCACATTTTATTTATCCATTCATCCATCTATGGATTTAGGTTGTCTTCACATCTTGGCTGTTGTGAATAGTGCTGCGATGAACACAAGAGTGCTAATATTTCTTCGAGATCCTGATTTCAATTCTTTTGGATAAATACCCAGATGTAGGATTGATGGATCAGATGATAAAGTTCTATTTTTAATTTTTTGAGGAACCTTCATACTGTTTTCCATAGCAGCTGTACCATTTTGCATTCCCACCAATAGTATACAGGGGTTCCAGTTTCTTAACATCCTCACCAACACTTGTTGTCTTTTGTTTTTTTTGATAATAGCTATCTTAACAGTGATAGATGATGTCTCATTATGATTTTGATTTGCATTTCCCTAATGATTAGTGATATTGAGCATATTTTCATATACCTCTTGGCTCTTTGTATGTCTTCTTTGGAGAAAGGTCCATTCAACACCTTAACCCATTTTTTAATTGGGTTATTAGTTTTTTGGCTTGTATATTTTAGAAATTAACCCCTTATCAGATATAGGATTGGCAAATATTTTCTCCCATTCCATAGGTTGGCTTTTCACTCTGTTGATTGTCTCCTTTGCTGTGCAGGAGCTGTTGTTTTTTTTTTTTTTCCCCCTGAGGAAGATTCGCCCTGAGCTAACATCTGTGGTCAATCTTCCTCTATTTTGTATGTGAGCTGCTGTCACAGCATGGCCACTGACAAGTGGTGTAGGTCTGCACCCAGGAACTGAACCTGGGCCACCAAAGTGGAGCGCACTGAACTTAACCGCTAGGCCACCAGGGCTGGCCCTATGCAGAAGCTCTTAAGTTTGATGTAGTCCCATTTGTCTATTTTTGCTTTTGTTGCCTATAATTTTGGTGTAATGTACATGAAATCATCACTAAGACCAATGTCACAAAAGTCTTCCCCTTTGTGTTCTTTTAGGAGTTTTACAATTTCAGGTCTCATGTTTAAGTCTTTAATACATTTTGAGTTGATCTTTGTGTATAGTTTAGGTTGAGTGTCCAATGGATATCCAGTTTTCCTAATGCCATTTGTTAAAGAGACTTCCTTTCTCCATTACATAGTCTTGGCACCCATGTTGCATTATCAGTTGACTGTATATGCACAAATTTATTTCTAGGCTCTCTATTCTGTTCCATTGGTTTATGTGAATGTCTTTATGCTAGTACCATACTGTTTTAACTGCTGTAGTGTTGTAACAGGTCATGAAATCAGGAAGTGTGATGCCTCCAGCTTTGTTGTACTTTCTAAAGATTATTTTGGCTCTTCGGTCATTTTTTCAGTTTCTGTAAAAAATGCCATTGGGATTTTGATAAGGATTGCATTGAATCTGTAGATTGCTTTGGGTAGTATGAACATTTTAACAATATTATGTCTTCCATCAAAAGATACAAACTTTCAGTTATAAATAAGTCATTGGGATGTAATATATAGCATGGTGACTATAGTTAATAATATTGTATTGCATATTTTCAAGTTGCTAACAGAATAGATCTTAAAAGTTCTCATCACAGAAAAAAATATTCTGTAACTATGTATGGTGATGTATGATAGTTAATTAGACTTATTGTGGTGATCATTTCGCAATATATACAAATATTAAATCATTATGTTGTACACCTGAAACTAATATGTTTTATGTTTCTTATACCCATTTAAAAGAAAAAAAGTGTTCCAGCCCATGAGCATGAGATGTCTTTCCATTTATTTGTGTCTTTAGAAATTTCTTTTAAAAAAAATTTTGGGGGCCGGCCCCGTGGCTTAGTGGTTAAGTGCGCGCGCTCCACCGCTGGTGGCCCAGGGTTCGGATCCCGGGCGCGCACCGACGCACCACTTCTCCGGCCATGCTGAGGCCGCATCCCACATACAGCAACTAGAAGGATGTGCAGCTATGACATACCACTATCTACTGGGGCTTTGGGGGAAAAAATAAATAAAAATTAAAAAAAAAAAAAAATTTGTTTTTTGGGTTTTTTGGGTTTTTTTGCTGAGGAAGATTAGCTCTGAGCCAACATCCATAGCCAATCTTCCTCTTTTTTTGCTCTTTTTGTATGTGAGCCACTACCACCACATGGTCACTGACAGACAAGTGGTGTAGGTCTAGGCCCAGGAAACAAACTGGGCTGCTGAAGCGGAACGTGCCAAACTTAACCGCTAGGCCACTAGGGCTAGCCCTAATTTCTATCATCAGTGTTTTATAGTTTTCAGTGTACAAATCTTGCACCTTTTTAGTTTATTCCTAAGTATTTTATTATTTTTGATGCTAATGTAAATGAGATTGTTCTAATTTCCTTTTCAGATAATTCATTGTTAGTGTATAGTAACACAACTAATGTTTGTATATTGATTTTGTATACTGCAACTTAAAACTGAATTTGTTTTTTAGTTCTTACAGTTTTTATGTGGATTCTTTAGGATTTTCTATACATAAGATATCATTCGCGATCAGGGAAAGTTTTACTTCTTCCTTTCTGATTTGGAAGCCTTTTATATCTTTTTCTTGCCAAATTTAATAGAAGTGGTGAGAGTGGGAATCTTTGCCTTCTTTATGATCTTGGAGGAAAAGCTTTCGGTTTTTCACCGTTGAGTCTGGTATTAGCTGTGAATTTTCGTATATGGCCTTTATTATGTTGAGGTAATTTCCCTCTAAGTTTGTTGATAGTTTTTATCATGAAAAGTTGTTGAATTTTATCAGTGCTTTTTCTGCATCTATTGAGATGGTTGTGTAATTTTTATCCTTCATTCTGTTTATGTGGTGTATCACATTAATTGATTTTTGTATGTTGAACCATTTTTGCATCCCAGGGATAAGTGCCCCTTGGTCATGGTGTATGATCCTTTTAATGTGCTGTTGAATTTCGTTAACTAGTATTCTGTTGAGAATTTTTGCATCTATATTCATCAGGGTTCTTGGCCTTTTAAATGTTTGGTAGAATTCACTGGTGAAGCTATCTGGTCCCGGGCTTTTCTTTGGGACGTTTTTGATTACTGGTTCAATCTCCTTACCAGTCATAGGTCTGTTAAGACTTTCTATTTCTTCATGATTCAGTTTTGGTAGGTTTTATGTTTCTAGGTATTTATCCATTTCTTCCAGTTTATCCAGTTTCTTGGTGTATAATTGTTCACAGTAGTCTCTTATCCTTTTTATTTCTGTGACATCAGTTGTAATGTTGCCTTTCGTTTTTTATTTATTTTTATTTTTTATTTTTTTGTGAGAAAGATCAGCCCTGAGCTAACATCTGACAATCCTCCTCTTTTTTTCTTTTTTGCTGAGGAAGACTGGCCCTGGGCTAACATCCGTGCCTATCTTCCTCCACTTTATATGGGACACCGCCATAGCATGGCTTGCCAAGCAGTGTGTCGGTGTGTGCCCGGTATCCAAACCAGCGAACCCTGGGCCGCCGCAGCGGAGCACGTGCACTTAACTGCTTGTGCCACCGGGCCGGCCCCTTTATTTTATTTTTTGAGTCTCTTCTCTTTTTCTTAGTCTAGCTAAAAGTTTGTCAATTTTATTTATCTTTTCAATAAACCAACAATTAGTTTTGTTGATCTTTTCTATTGTTTTTCTATTCTCTATTTCATTTATCTCTGCTCTAATCTTTATTATTTCCCTCCTTCTGCTAACTTTGGGTTTAGTTTGTTCCTTGAGGTGTAGTTAGGTTGTATATTTGCGATCTTTCTTCTTTTTTAATGTAGGAACTATAAACTTCCCTCTTCATCTTGCTTTTTCTGCATCCCATAAGTTCTGATATGTTGTGTTTTTGTGTGTCTCAAGATATTTTCTAATTTCTCTATTTCTTCTTTGACCCATTGGTTATTCAAGTGTGTTGTTTAATTTCCGCATAGTTGTGAATTTTCCAGTTTTCCTTCTGCTGTTGATTTCTAGTTTCATTTCACTGTGTTCAGAA